GTTCACCTTTAGGCATTAGGACCCATGCAGACCGCAAGGTGAGCGCCCCCTACTGGCCCCACTAACACCCTTTACAGCAGCAGCCTTAGCTTTCCCAGGAGGTCTCCCATCCAGGGTCTGGCCAGGCTCACATCTGCTGAGCTTCAGTGGGCCGCCAGATGCAGGGGGATATAGGTGCTGATAGCTATGACTGTTGTTAGCAGTCTCCAGTGCAAAGATGATTATTGAATTCTCCTTAGGTGGTTAAGGCTCTCCAGACCCCGTAGGACACACGTTGAAATACAGCCACGTGACTGGAGTGTTCCATGCAACACTCTGGGAGTATAACCTTCATCTTGCAGCCACTGCTCCGTACAGCTTGTGAGATCTGGGATGCATCAGACAGGGAATCGCTGCGCTCCTCTGGAAAGGGGTCGACCCTCCTCTCCCAGCTGTATATTTTCACAGCTGCAACCATCCCCGGCCAACTGTACTGGGGCGCCAGCTCCAGGCAGACTCATAACCCAGCTCGAGTGTGCTTTGAAGGCAGATTTGTGTTTAATGCAGTTTTTTCCTGTGTTCTACTAGCAGAGTTTATATAGCTGCTACAGCAATTAACAGCTTTAACGATGTATTTGAAGACTTAAAATTCACAGTATCCTGCAGCACTGTAGCACAAAGTCCATGATTGACTTTAAAGGGTAAGAGATATTGGTGATCAGAGGTGCATAGCAACGCTTTGTGTCCAATGTCGAGTTTTTGTGGTGTTGAAGCCTGTGTTTTGAAAGAATAAAGACCTCAACAGTTGTTGCACCGCAGGATCTAAGACGTGTGTTTCCATGGTCCTGCAGGATACACCCTCTGCCTGGGCAAATCCTACTTCTTCCGCTTCAACCACCCGGAGGAGGCCAGCCGAATGAAGAGCATGCTGCCCCAGAAGAGTCCCGCCTGCTCCCTCGCGTCGAGCCCAGGTGAGCAGGGCGATGCGCGGCGCTGGCGGCGAGAGGTCAGAGGGCGAGGGGCTGGCTGTTGACGAGCTTCAGGGGCCGCTAGCTGGGGGGGGGGTGAGGCGGTCTGGTCTCCACTTGCATTGCAGGGCGGCCCCTTTAAAACCCAGGCAGGTGTGGGTTTCTTTCAGTCTCAGACAAGGTTTAAACCATCACATTTTGCAAACAAACCGTTTTGTTTTCGAAAACCCTGTTGCTTTGGAAGCCAGATTTACGGATTTTTTTTTTTCCTATCTGCCGGCTTAAATATTAAAAACCGTTCAGGTGGAATGTTTACATTGTACATAGACTGTGCTCTGGGAGATAACAGCTTGAATCACCCTGTTAGTGTTTGAAGAGATTTGGGTTTTATTCTGTGCGGGGGATCATTAATACTCCTCAGCCTGTGGTGGGAAGGAATGAGGAGGGCTAAACAGAAGGTGGCTTTTAATGCAGCAGATCCGTCAGTGACCTCCCAGAAATCCAGCCTTCTGGAGCCCAGGAATGCGCTGTCTTGTAAACAAAAGCAGCCCTGTGTTTTGAACTTGCGGTGTTGAGGAAAAGACGCACAGGAACAGGCAATCCTGACGCTTTAACCTCGGTGCTGCTCCTTCAGCTCACGTTCCTAAACCTTCTCCCAAGCTCCTTTGGAAACTTGCTATACCAGATTTCCACTTTACAAGCAGAGACGACGGGCTGCATCAATGCGCTGGGAGCCTTATGCTTCCCATTTATGGTTCGAAACTGCAGATTGTTCTGGGTGAATTTATAGCTGTGACTCTTGCCAGTTATTCCGTATGAAAGCTGTGCTGTAAAGTGTTCTTCGCTTTGCTTTGCCTCTCGTGTGCCATAGAAGGCAGTTTCCTCAAGGGGAGGAATCGGGAAGCAGAAAGCGCAGACACTCTCTGGGCAGGAGAGTGAAGTAATTATTCGCCTATCATTGAGTCACTGCCCACCCTTTCACAGTCGCACTGCAGTACAAAGCAAAAGGTATGAATGTTTTGTGGTTTCCTGCCTGTATAACAACAAACTGAAAGTGAATAAATAGCCATTTAAATACCCAGCGTTCACTCCACAACTGTGTTTTAATTCATTTAAAAATGTTTCACCGAACGCAAACATCTGTTTCTTCAAAGAAATAAGAAGGGTTACAAAAGAGAGGTTATTAGTAGCTAATTGCTCCCAAGATCTCATCCAGATGTTTCCTGAGAAGGAAACCAGGGTGCTAACTTCAACAACATGGCAGGGTAGCTTGTTCCACACTCCCACAACCTATTGAGTTAAGAGGTGCTTCCTGTCCTGGGTTTGAAATTCTCTTCTGCACCGTTTCCACTTACGCCCTCCGGTTTGCGCTTCGCTCTTTGTTCGCGAGAATCTACTGTGTTGGCTTTGTCAGTGCCTTTGAGGATCTGTGTGTTTGTGAAAGTTGTGAAAGTGAGGTCTGGTTTGAGCGTGGGCTTGCTCAGTTCAGCTCAGTTTGCAGAGGGACGCTGGATCTCTCCCCAGCAGCACAGTGCTTCCTGCTGACTGGCAGAGCACGCAGCCTGCATTGGATATTAAATCACTGTATTGGAAACGCTTACACAAGAGAATGGAATGAGGAATCCAGGGATCATGTGATGCCTGAATCAGAAACCCAGCTCTGCCTTCTGTGAGGGGCCCTTGGATCCTAATCCGTGTGTCCAGACTGCAGTGTCTCAGAATGCAGGGATTCCAGAG